ATAATGTAAAAAATAATCTAACTAATATCACTTTTTTAAAAACCGTTTTGAAGTAAAAGAGTTTTGAGAGTAAGAATCAGTTCTTACTCTCAAAACTCATTTATTAAAGTGAGTTAGAAATAAAAAAAAACAACATTGAAAGCTAATAAAACTCTGTAAAATGATGGCATTCCTTTATTTTAATATTCAAACAATAATTAATTCTCCTACAATTTTTACCCATTATATAGCCTAATACATATAATTATTCGTAATATAAATAAACTATTTTAATTAAATATTAACAAAATTTATTATAAAATAATAAAAAAAGAAAAGAAATTTTCAATGACTGATTCCAAAAACTTGAAATTTATAGAATCATATTAATATAATTTAAAAGGTAAAATATTTGATGAATATAATTCCAACTATAGGCAATGGTTTATATGTATTGCAAATATTTTTTCAGTGTTTCCTGACATTAAATTGTGTATATAACATTTTGTCGTGTTTGAATGTCGTGTCAAACAAAGATTAAGCATGACTGTTTGCTGGATAAGGTCAGGTGTTTATATAAAGAAAATCCTGTATTTCTATACTTTTATACTGTATTTTTCGAATACACAAATAAAAGTATAGATGACAAAATGAAATATTCTGCCTGAACAAACAATTGAAGGTTAATACAAGCTTATTTATAGATGCTATGTTCGATGATGCATCAAAATTACTGCAAATAATGCAAAATATGAGTGATTGTGTATTAATTTAATAATTATATTTAATTCTAAAATATAAATATTTTTTAATTTAAAATTTACTTTTTAATCATATTAACTAAATTCATCAATTCTTATCCACGTATGAGTCTGGTATCGGTATAAAAAAAGAAAATGTTTATTTGGAAATCCTTACAAAAATAAACCACTCATATTACACCCATTTTGATTTTAATTTGTACCGCTATCTACTTAAAAGATTTTTTTGGGGATGAAATTCCGACCACACAAGTGGCCAACATGAAGTAAATGTGGTTGTTGCGTATCGGATGCAGCACAATAAATTATCATGTACACAGGGGAATGGCGGTGAGAAGTGGAGTGGTTTGTGTAACGAGAGACCACACCAAAAGAAGGGGATTTTGTCACATCTACTTTGTCATTTCTTTAAATGAAGTCGCTCTCCAGATGAGCTTGTTAAAAAATGTCTGGATATCCAATCTGTTTAACCGAAAGGAGTCTTACAAAAGCTAAATTCGTTCCAACATCAGGTATAAAACTAAACAGAGAAGGGTACTATAATAACAATTGTGCATTTTAAAATATACGTAATTAAATAGTGATTACTAGAGAATTTTATATAAGTTATATATGTATTTACTTTACCATAAAGTAACGACAGTTAACATATCTTTACAGATTTATGTTACAGACTTACGTCTACGACAAGTGAAGAGTAAAGGAAACGACACTCACATGATTTGATACCAATTTTCATTCCCGAATTTAAATATGACTTCTCTAGTAATTCGAGTCATTTGTATTGTGAACCAAGAATGTAGGCCCGTAAATGATAAACAAAACTAAACTATCTTTAAGTAATCTGAATATGATCATAGGCATATTTAGGGGAAGACAGAGAAGCCTCCCTCTTAAATAGAAAGTTAAAATACATGTATAGAAAATATTAGATTTATCTAAAAGTTTAAATTTACGCACAGATATATTCCCGATACCTCACTTAAGATAATACTTGATCATTCATTGTTCATGATACAGCAGCAGAGGTCTGTTTTAGAGTGTAAAGTTAATATATTCTACATCGATTAAAACTCGATAATCATATCGTTATTATATTCAGAAAATTTTTACCATTATGATTTCCAGTCAATACGTATGAAAAATTATTATATCGATCATTGCATATTGTTATTACGTTAACAGACTTCATGAAATTCTGCATTTATTTAATATTAAAGAATGAAAAGATAGTATTGATAAATTTTATAACAATCAATTTTAGAAGCAAACTTTCTGATGTTAATTTTAATTTTAGGATAAAATGTAGATTATATAAGGCTAATTTTATATTTAAAAAATTATCGGAAATTTTTATAAAAAATAAATTAAGATTATTAATCGTTAAAAATTTCTTTCTCGTAATAAGATCATAGAGTTTAAGGATAAAAAGTTAAATTATTCCAGTTTAAAGAGGATGAAAATAGATTATATTTGAGAATAAAAAGTAAACTGTGTTACAAGTCGATGGGTTAGATTTTAGTCTATGGGTTAGTTTTTTAGCAATCTTTTGGCAAGATGCTACAATAGAATACAGGATAAATTCTCGTGATTGTAGAACATCGTATTTTAAATATCAAGCGTCATTCTTAACGAGTATAATGTAAAAAATAATCTAACTAATATCACTTTTTTAAAAACCGTTTTGAAGTAAAAGAGTTTTGAGAGTAAGAATCAGTTCTTACTCTCAAAACTCATTTATTAAAGTGAGTTAGAAATAAAAAAAAACAACATTGAAAGCTAATAAAACTCTGTAAAATGATGGCATTCCTTTATTTTAATATTCAAACAATAATTAATTCTCCTACAATTTTTACCCATTATATAGCCTAATACATATAATTATTCGTAATATAAATAAACTATTTTAATTAAATATTAACAAAATTTATTATAAAATAATAAAAAAAGAAAAGAAATTTTCAATGACTGATTCCAAAAACTTGAAATTTATAGAATCATATTAATATAATTTAAAAGGTAAAATATTTGATGAATATAATTCCAACTATAGGCAATGGTTTATATGTATTGCAAATATTTTTTCAGTGTTTCCTGACATTAAATTGTGTATATAACATTTTGTCGTGTTTGAATGTCGTGTCAAACAAAGATTAAGCATGACTGTTTGCTGGANGTAAAAATAAAAAAAAAAAAACTTTTTAATTTTTTATTATATTTGAAGATCATAAGAAAAAAATTATAATTAGATTTAAGTTCTTACTAATAGAAATTCTATCCATCTATTAATCCTAGCATTTTATAGTTCTAATGAATTATTAAAAAAAAACTAAATTACTGTATTGATACATAAGTAAAATTTCTGTTAATTTGCACTATTCGATACAGTAAACTGGAATAGTTTATTATATTTATTTTTTTTATAGTAATTCATTAATCTTACTTAAATAAAAGTCGTCTAAGAAACTAACTAACTTGTAAAATCAATGAAATAAACTAATTAATAGATGTGCATTTTATAATTTTCTATTCTTGAGCAATTACTCATAGTGCTAACGTTTCTAGGATTATTTTATGAACTAGCATTATTTGACATTAAATTATTACTCATTTTTCAATTTAAAGTTGAAGATACTTGATAATTAAGTCCACTAAAAATGTTTTTATTATGTTAATATTACAGAATTTAATGTTATACATTCATTAATTTATTAAAAAATCAACTTAAGATTTAAATTTATGATAAATCAGTTTAACGAGATATAATGTGCTTAAACTATAATTTAAATACTTTTTAATTTTAGTTTTCTCTATAACCTATATTTTTAAAATCAGTTTTATTGTATTTAAAATTTTAAAATAGATATGTTAACAAGAAATTACTCTGTAATAATTACTTTAAAAATTTAAATAAATAAATAAAAATCTACCGATTAAATATCTAATAAGATTAATAATATTATACATCAAATTTAGCTAGAAAAAGTCTTCTAAAAGTGCAAATAATTCTGCAAAGTACAAATTATTTGAGATTGATTGTCACTGACAACAACTAAATTTTGCTAATATCATTTGAATGCTATAAGGGAAAATTTCCTACATTATTTAACTCTCTTATTAGCAATAAATTATTGTTCATTCTTTAATTTAAAGATAAAATACTTCTAAGGTTACTATCTCTTGTTTTTGAGTTGTTACTCATGTCTTATCGTCATTGTCATCTGGTTAGCAATTAACTCACTTTTTAGGTCATTGGAAGCATATTAATCATTTGTTAAGTTTCAAGCTCGTCTGCATAATTATGTTAATAAAAACTTTAAATTAAATGAGCTATTATAAACATAAAACTTAAAAGAAAAGAATTAAGCTAATAAAGATCATAATTTTAGGAGTTTTTTACATAACGTGGATAGTTTTTGAGTGATAAAAATTAAGAAAAAACATGGCTTTATGTAACAAAAATAAGATAGGAAACACGATTAAAAGCATTTAAATATCCACATAATAATAATAATTTGATTATAATTGGCATAAAAATAAACTTAAAATAATCGGAGTGTCTTCTTTTATAAGTCATTAATTTAATATTTTTATTTAAATAAATAAATAAAAATTTAAAATTGACATTCAGGATGCATGAAAGTCCTTTTTGCATAGATTAAAAGAGATTTTTAAGCAAAATTGCTATGATTATTTTGCTTAAAATCGGATAAAGTTTTTTTAAACGATCTATTTTTGTAACTAATTTAAAATAAATAATTTGCTTTCTATTTTAATAAAAACACGAAATAGATATTTACGCAAGATATAAGGAAATGAATAGTGAGGAAGAAATAAAATAATTGGAGTGAACCTCAAATTTCACGGTATAAAAACACTTCCTTATTATAATTTTCGAGAAAATTATAAGCATCAAAAGCGGAAATAATTCATAATAAACAAATAAAAATGGCGCAGTTTATAATTTAATTCCTTACAAAGCAACAAATAAGGAAATAAAACAAACAGGAAAATAAATTAGTTCGCTATCCGACATTGGTTAAATAATCAAAATAACGTCGATTACTTATTATCGATGGCGCCATTGGTGGAACGATCCATACTTTCGGCCTATTGGACGAAAGGCCAGCCAATAAAACTTCCTCTTTTTTAGATGGGAAACGATTCTTTGCTCAATGGATCGGTGAGAGAGCACGTGAGCATGCGCCGATGTTCGAATCAGGTAGGTGGCGCTACGTAGCGGTTAGATTCTCACCTGAATTTAGTAAACGTGATTTTGTCAAGTGTAGTAGATGGTGCTAGACTTGATCATTGCTAGGATGTGTCAATCATTTTGGGATGATTAACATGACGCACACAAAACAACTCTATGAACATCATAAATAGCCGAAATAAATCGGGGACACTATTTTAAGTGCTCTATGGTGTCCCTGATAATATCAATCATGGAAACAGGGGAAAGACAACATTTATCTTATTGTGGACCATTCAATCCCCTGCCTCAGTTGTCGGCTCGTGCCAGGGACTTTTCTATCGATGCCCTGATTTCGGGGTCACAGAGCACCAACACAAGTCTCGTATCGAGCGATGAAAGCGATGAGTCTTTATTGGATCGAGATTCTCCACTTCATCACGAAGCTATATCACCTTTAGGTGAGTACCAGATAATCATCTAAGGCTTTACTGCATAGCTTAATTAATTTCGCTATAATTAAGGATCTCACTTGTTTTTTTTCGCATAGTGTAAAGTGCAGAAAGATCCTGTCAACTAAGTTGCGTTACTCGTGAATCTTTAGTTAACCCGCAGAGCAAAAAATGAATAAATAATAATAAAAAAATTATTTTGCACTCAGTAATAAATTATTAAATATCTTAATAGCATTAAATTAACTGAAAATTCAATCCAGATTTTTTAAATATAAAATTTAATTTTAAATTAAATTTTATATTAAAAAATTTATAAATATTATATAATTTAAAGTAGAAAAACTCCTGTTTTTTTAGAAGTAATTTTCAAAATTTTTAAATATTTTTTTTTCTAAAAAAAGATATAAAAATTAAAGTCAATTAAAGATCGTTAAGAAATTTTTTATCATTAATATCGATGATAAAGTTATAAAAAATTCCTTTATTTTCCATGTTGACAGTCTCAGTGTAAATATTGATAACCAGTAACTGAGATAACAGTTTATAATTGTTTTTTTTAAATATATCATAAATTAAAAATAAGATATTTTAAAACAAAATATCTCATAAGTTAATTTAAAGTAAGCTTAACTTAATTATAATATATTTGAAAAAATTGCTGTTTCTCAAAATATCATTAATTTTTGCTTCAACTGTTAAGAATTCTGAATTAATCTAATACATAATTTAATCTTTGTTACTGCAAGATTTGCCTCCGGGCCTGTAATTATAGCTAAAAGTTACAAACTGGACATTTCGGATTTTTGCTGATAAATGAAAAAAGAATTTCGTTTGGCCTTCGGCATCTCAATGATTTAGTAATGTTAGCATTAATGCTATTTCCTATGAACAAATGCCTATCATTCCTATTTTTCAATGTTGAAATTATAAATTTACGAGTAAGGTTATTTAAAACTTAAAACTTTATAAATTTTTTCCTATTTTAAACTTTTTTTTTATTCTCTTAATTTTTCTCTTTTTTCAACTTTTATTTTCTTAATTTTAATAATGCTAAATAAAATTCACAAATTAATTCTTAAATTTGGATCATATTTATTAATCTCGAATATTTTCCCTTTTTTTTTAATTGAAGTTATTTATAACTTGTCAAAACTTTTTCTTGTAATAACAAACAACTAAGGATTTACAGGGCCCAATTATTATTAACCTGTTGTTTTATTTAGGCCAAGATAATTCAATTTGTCTTAAATATCACTTCTTTACATTGAAAGTTCGCTATTTTCTATTAAGTTTCAACGAATAAATAAATCTATTTATAGAATATAATTAGTAGAATATATTATGTCTATTTTTAAGTGTGAAAAGTATTCTGAAATCGAATATTAGTGTCCATAAATGCTATACTTTCATTCTTAATACACCCATAAAATACTGTACTTCTAAGTGTTTCATATAAATGGAAGCTTAGAAATAAAACTGATAAGAAATTTATTTATAATTTTTTAAGCCTTAGAATGTTACTTTTAGTAACATTTTTAGTTAATTTTATTGTTTTATTCAATCCTGTCGGCCTTCTCTTTAGTGTAGGCCCCCCACAGTTGAATTTTTAAGGCAAAGAAAATCGAGAATTAAACAAACGTTTGGCCTATTTAAAGACAATTATGTTTTAGTATACATTGGAATGATTTAAATTTAAGAGATCTTGTCATTTTTAACCAGTTTGTGATATTAATTAAGTAGTATATATAATCCCTACTATGTTTTTTTATATCAATTTAGTATTATCCATCAAGTGACACTCCATTTTTTCTCTCTCTCTACAAACTTTCAATATTAGAGACAAGCTTAAAGACTAGAAAACAAAATCTTCAATGAGATAATTCCCATATTTATAAGTATATTTAAAGAGTTTTACTCTCAAATATAAATAAATATCTAATCTAAGAGGACGATTTATCTTTTAGTCAAATCTTCCAAGCGTAACGCAAACAATAGCTCTTTAATAAACATATTAATTTTAATATGTAATTTTAAAATAATATTTATATTTTAATTACGCTTCGATTAAATTCTTAACGGATTATATAGGCTATATAAATGTAAAAAATATAAAATTTTTCTTACAGTAATTAGAATTTGGCTTAAATCAGAATGAAAATTTATAATTTAAGTATTTTTATAATTAAAAATAATTAGAGAAAAGGTATGATATAATATTTATTATAGCATAATTTATGTATTAATATCGAACAAGTTCTAAACTCGAAAAGAATATATTTAAAACGTAGAATAAGAGCCGAATTTTACTATTTTATCTTTACTTTTAATGGTTGTTTGAATTTTTATTTGAATTCTTACCGAATATAAAAATCGATTTGAGTTTCACACAAGTCTATCGTTTATATCTTTCTCGGAAATAAAATCCAATATTACTCTGAATTTTTCATTATTTTCCTATAAGCAATACACCTCCATCGATAATGAATTGAGTTTATCCAGATTTGATATGTTTTCCGATAATTCCTAATTTAATAAATAAAAAATTTAAACTTTATTGTAAATAAACTGAAAGTCCAAAATTTTAAATTTCATTTAAGCTAAATAAATAAAGAAAGAAATCGAAGAATTTAGATTAATTAAAGTTAACAATATTTAAAGTTTAAACTCCATCGAATTAATTATCATTAATTAATATAGTAATCTGTAAACGGAAGTTATACTGCACATATAATATTTCCAAAATTATTCCCTAAAAATGCTAGTAAATTACTAAGATTACAAAATAGAGACCATTCTTATTAAATTAGCGTTTTTTACAAGTAAAAAAAATCAAGTAAAGGCAATTGGAAAATGAAATTAATCCTTTAAAATTCAAAAGTCATGATGATAAAATGTGATTAGAGTTATAATAATCAATAGAAAAGATCTTTTTTTGCATAAGAATCTATGCGAAGTTTAGGCTTATATTGCAAGAATAAGCAATCTTTAACAGGTGAAAACAAAACTATAGATTGCTTCCATTCACACGTAAGCACGGTATTAACAATTATACGTTACCAAAAAAAAAGAATGAGAAAAAAATGCATCCGTCCTAACAAAAACGAATCCATGATAAAACAAATTTTTCTTTGTCTTGAATTACCGCGCTTGCGTGATGTCACTGTCCGTCTTTGTTGACAGAATGATCATTAAGTGAGAGACAGTTTGTCTCAGAGTCACATAATGGATGTGTACATGCGTTTAATCTGCCTGGCATAGTTGTGCTTGCTCTATACTTATCTAACAGACGGGGCCTATGTAAATATTGGGCCTTATTTACGCTTTGCTTAACAATTCCTTCAGGGTGTTATGAATTTTTCATGCGATCTCCAGCGTAGCTCATTCTACTACAGCTACATAAAATCTGATTCATAAATTTGTAGTAAATGCTTAATTAAAGTGTAAGCCAAATAATTTTTCGTCTATAGGATTTTGATATGTCAGCGATAGTTTAATAACCGGAAGTATTCGAACGTTTCTGTATTTTTATAGAAATGCTCCTTTCGTGACGTCGCGTATACAGTATATCGAGTTCGATTCAATATTTAAAAGGCATTTTATAAAGATTTCTAGTTGTAAATTGATTAAGGATCTCGATTGGTGATGACGAACACAAAGAATTTCGTTAGAAATGTATTCTACATTAGCATTAAGCCAGTTTGTTGTATCAAAAATCAAATGATTTTGGTTTACAAAAAGCAAACTCTCCTGTTTGGAAGAGAGTCGAGTTCAATTTGTCAAAGAGGCAGTGGGTGGTTTGCCTACCCACAGGTGAGAAGTGTTGCTAACTATGTTAGAAACGAAGCTCTGGGATGCCATCCCGTAGATATGTAGTATCAACAGGTGGCCTCTCTTCTCTTACAGCTAATTCGTAAAATATGTTCGAACAAATTTTTCTGTAACAGCGGGAACAGAATTTTATAAAATAACTTAAATTTTATAGTCCAAAACATCGTATTATTTGCAAGACAAACGAAATTAATACATGTTATACGGGATTATATTATTGGCAAATTGCACGATTTAAAATATGCATTTTGACTTAATTACATTTAAATCATTCATTAATCTAGTTTCCTCTGTGACTTTAGATATAAATAATTTAATTTTGAAGCACTACAACGATATAATTTATAAAAAAATTAATATACAGATCAATTTAATCTTGAGTATAAATTGAAAAACAAACCTAAATTTTTATATGATTTCAGATGAAGTAAATCTGTATTGGAGCGTCATGGAGCTAAATACACCAATTTATATAATTTTTCATTTATTTGCGTGTAAACAGATAAAACGGGAATTATATAAGAGACGAAAATGATATCATTTTAAATCAAAATCACTAAATTTACCTAATTTTTTCCCAGAAAGAGAGCTATAATCAAGTTCCCACGTCACAACCATCCAACAGCATTATGTCGCAATCCAGAGTGGAGATCATAAGTCAGACATAAATCTCGTATCACGATTAGGTGGATAAATTTTGATTAAAAAGCATCATCAATTTTCAATTATGACATCGCAGTGATATCGTCTGAATGCCACAACGTGATTATATCTGACATCACACTTGAACCAAAATAATTGATATTGCGTAAAATGAATTAAAGCAGGATTATTTCTGTTTTACATTATTTTCTTTAATCAGATAGTAAATTATTAATTCATTGTATTTCTCGTGTGACGTAATAGAATTATAAACAAATTCATTAATCAGTGTAAGAAATGGTCGGTAGTGACAAAATTATCCGAAGAGCCAATTTGTCTGTAGATTCACTTTTCTCGCTTTTGTCCTATATTTTCGGTATTAAATAAATTTAATTACCTTAATGCCTAAAGTAATTAGCGGCCTAATGCCTTCTACTCATAATTAACCATATGCAGAAGGAAACATTTCAAAACAGAATGAAAAATGCATTCTAATTTACAGCTTTTAGCCGTAACAATGCTTTCATTGAATCGAA